GCAACACTAGTGAGTCGCTTCACTGCACACTGTACTTCTGCGTTTCCTGCTACCGTTTGTCCGTAATACATTTTTACCCCATTCCACCACCCCCACATACCTTTCCGTGGCCATCCGCCATAGCCCAAGGCCATGAAGCCCTAGTGACGGTTCCGGACTTTAGTCAAACCGGCCACGACGGACGGTATGCTACCCACTAGTTGGGAATAAATATTGTTATTATTATTATTATTATTATTGCTGTCAGCAGCTGTCTCCTGCAGCTCCAACGTTATTATTATTATTATTATTATTGCTGTCAGCAGCTGTCTCCTGAGCGCAGCTCCAACGCGTCGAGTCTAGTGTAAACTTTGCAATGGTGCTGACCAAATTCATTCAACATAGCAATTAGACTAAAAGTGTCGCAACGACTACATACCGCGCGTGCCAACTACCCTCTTTCCAGGATTTAGTCATCAACAAAAAACAACAACAATAATAATAATGCTTATTCCCGACTTGTTGGTGGCATGCCGTCTGGCATGATCATACGTTTACAGTCAGAATGAAGCATGACTGGGGGTGCGGATTGTACGAAAAGCGGACAATGTCATAAACAATGGGGAATAACCGATGAAATAATAATAGGTTTCTTTCTTAACTCGTTGGGAATAGTGGGCATGAGGTCCGACTAGTTCGACGACATAGCCAGATGGCGTAAACTTAAACTGAACAGATAAAGCTGATTAGATAATAATCAACACTTTACTGGGACACTGTTCATTTCGAACAACCAGCACGCAGTCGGATGGGCCTCAAGCCACCTAAACGAATTCAACGTCTTCTGAAAAAAAGCTGACTACTGGAGGCAGATGATTAGGCGTTTCGCAGAATGCGGAACCGCTGTAAACCAGAAATCCACGGACGAAAAATAAGAAGGCAAGTCATAACACTAGGCCCCTATCGGAAAAACAAAAATGTGCCGTTTAGGTACATGAGACATCCCCTCAGAATTTAACTCACTGCGCTCTCTGGGGAGAAAATTGGGGAACACAAAGTGACCCAATGGATGTATGCGGAGCCCACAGCGAACAATATGCATGCATGAATTCTGCCCCAGTGACCACGTCAGACCTTCTATTGTCAAGGCGTAAGTACGAATGGCATCTAACCAAATTGATCTTCACAGTGGAGGACATCCGCCAACTCTTGCACAAGACAAACTTCTGCGCGTAGGGACCAGACCATTTCCAATCAAGAGTCATAAAGGCAAAACCGTCCACACGGGCGAAGCATTTTCACCTAGGGTTTCGTCAATAGCTCGACCAAAACAGCCTTCCCTCAGCTTACGGAGAAACGATTGTCACTTTACTCTGCATAATTGATGACCGAATATCGCCCAACGGCTACAGGCGTACAAGCCTCATCAACGTGCCGTGCAATGTGATGGAACACATTTCAAAGCGGGTCATCATGGATCACACTACTGTTAGCAACTTGCTACTCCCAGATCATCAAAAACTTCTCCAAGACCGTTTTTGCTTGGCGGACATGCTCGTATTCATGGATAGCTTAACGCAAGCTACGGATGAGGGAATCACATCACATGCCAAATGTTTTGAATCATCAAAAACGTTCGAGTGAGTACCACGCATCCCGCCGCTTTACAAACCTGAGTCCAACGGTATTCAAAGGAAAATTCTGCGCTGGATCAGGTCGTTTCTATCATACAGAACATTCCAGGTGAAAGTAGGCTCAATCTAACCTTCTCCAGCACCGGCCTCCGTCGGAGCCTCTCAAGGCTTCGTTTTGGGGTCAGTTCTGTTTCTGATCTGCGTCAAAGACCTTCCGGATGTTCTTGCAAGTCTATGTCTACTTTTTGCGGTCGGCTTGCAATCCAAGAGTTTCAGTGCCGGTGCCCTCCAAATGGATGTAGGCTCTGCAAAGCAGTGGTCGTTGGGCTGGCACCTTCCGCTGAATGACGAAAAGCGTGTCCATATGTTGCTCGGAGGGGAAGCAGCGAACGCATATGTCGTGCACAATGAGAATGCAGAGGAAAACATTACGAGGATGGATAGCAAAAAGGGTTTGGGTATCTGGCTCTCTTCAAACATGTTCTCCTCATTGCTCTATTAGAAATCGGCTCAAAAGCCATTCACCGTTTTACGGATGGTTCGGTGCACCTTCTCCCGTATTACTCACATGGAATTCTAGATACTCTATGGGGCGTACGTCAAGCCGCTTCCTGAATACGCCAACCAATTCGTCTACCCAGGAGGCGAGAAATACGTAACCATCATTGACTTGTCCACTTGCCGACTTGAAATCTAGTGATTATGAAACGCGTCCAACGGTGCTTGGCCTATTCCCCCAGAGTATAATTGCCTCCTAGAAGACCTAGTACTTGCTTATACCCTTTTGGTAAAAGGCTTTTTTCTTGGAATCTCCGCGCTGACAAACCTTCTGCCCAGCGCTGGGAACTTAAAAAGCAGTGGTAAACCATTTCATCGCTTGTGCACTTTACGTGAATGGCAGTCGCTGAACGGTAAGAATTAAACCAACCTGGAAAACTTGGGCGTGTGTCAACCGATGAATCCGGGAAAGAACCAGATGGTTGTGGCACGGAAAATTTTGAACCCTCGATCGCGTCACCCCCGAAACAAGCACAAGTGAATAAATTTTGTTTGTGTCGTCATTGTAGCAAAAGTTAATTTACAGGAATTGCCTGCATCTGCTTTAAAAATTCCAAACGTGTTAAATTACATGGCCAAGATAAATTGAGTTTTCTTCAGGTAACAATTTATTCCAATATTAAGCGTTCTGCTCCCTACATGACCACAGATTCAGATTCAATTTAGATGCTTTCTTACCTTTCCTGGCTCCGACCAACATCTCAACTTGATCTTAATGTTACGTCTCTTTGGAATGAACCATTTATGAGGTCTGAAATTTGCTGAACGCAAGAGCAGGCCTGACTGCCAAAGCTTGAGTAGAAGTGTGAGGATTAAGTTTCGTACGTATACCGGTATAACCAGACGAACTAGAAATCCAAAATTCAGCGAAACGTAACAACAAGCACGTATGTATTCGAATTGTCGAATATGTACAGCATATGGATTATTAAAACAAGAGAATAATGAATAGAACAACGAATAAATTATCAGTCATGTTCATCGCAAGAAGTTCGCACTCAAAGTTTGAACGTACAGTGCGCTTCTCTGCGTTTCCAATTAGCTCCCTTTTACACGCGAGCGAAAGTGGCACAGTCTTCCGCTTCCAGTTTGTGTACACTCAACAGCGGGTAAGCCTATTTAGGGGATCTGCACTTTTGCACCAGTTCAAGGTACGTCCAACCTTGAACAAATTTGAACCATGTACACAACTTCGCGTGGGTGGCGAAGATTGAATATACATGTATTTTTCAATCTAACAGGAGAGTGAGTGCTTCACAGTGTACATATGCGCTAATATATTGCGATAAAGTGACAATATCAGTGCACGTGGACTTCACTTTCACTTCCTTCTGTGGATAAATCTTGTAAGCAGAACTTCCAGATTTCGAGTGAACTTCGCAGAAAATATTTCAAATCACCAAGTGAGCATGAGACAAATATAAAGCCACCGCGTTTAAAAGAGTGTATTTTCGTTGAATGACATAAGAAAGCATTTTCGCTAAACGATCATTTTGTGTCAATTTCGCCGGGAGTTTATTCGAATGTCTGCGCAAAGATCGGTCACAAACACCATTTATCTTGATATTGAAAATAAAAGCTTGTGTCCTGTGTCACCCAGCAAAGCAAACAGATCCAGGAGATACAGTCTCTCATTTGACGGCCGGAATGGTGATGCATTCACGTGCCAAGGTCGCCAAACTGAGACCATCAAGAACACTCCCCTGATGAGAATACCGAACATGTACCAGATGGAACCAAGTGCTCTAGGCGTTTCGGAATGCCATACGGACTCAATCAGGACGACAACCAACAGTATTAGTCACCCAGCAAAACAAAAACAGCAAGCAATGAGCATGTCGACATCACTCATTGAAGAACGGGCTGCTTCAGAGCGCCCACTTATTTCGCATGAAATGGCTGTACGGTTACTGAAGGAGTATGTGCGTTCTCTCAAAGACTTTTCTTCTTTACTTCAATCGAGACAAGATAGGGAGACGAAAGATTCAGCAACTTCTCCTATTCATTCACCAGTGGAAAACGTCTCGGGAAGAGATCCTTATCGGGACGATACAAGACACTCTGCCTCCTACTTTCGAAGTGACATTTCACCAAAATCCATCGATAACCATTACAATATGTCGAGATTTCCATGCACCACAGATCCTTATGTTATGGCACCAGGACATGACCAACCTATCTCAGTAAACGATTTATTTGCTTACATCAGAAAGACCGAAAAAACCAGGGATGACAGGTTTGAGTTGCGCACATCCCCATCGTCCTCACACGACTCTTTATCCAGTGCACCACCCATCCTTTCAACAAACTACGCAACAGTTTCTGCAAATTATTCGAACGAATCTGGTCAGAGGACACCAGTGAATGTGGAGGACATCAGTTTTCCAGGAACAGACTGCGAATCAAGAAAGTTTAATAAACTTAGTTCTACGTAAGTGACGTTTCTGGTGCACAGGCATAATTGGCTGAAAGATTGAAATCGGCTATGTACGCATTTTAATCTAATATCAGTACACCCATGCTGATCCTCATGTTACTCACTTTTATTCCAAATCCACGATGCGAATAAGCTGAGTTTTTGGTCAGACCAATCCGCAGTAAAAAGTTCTGATTGTAGATCCAAATTCCATTGACTTGATTCGTAAAATAAGGCTGAAAAATTACTTACGACCAAATTTTGTGCTTTTTCAGAAAACGGATGTCCGAAAATCTTTTTACACTTGCTAACTAAGAATAAATATGTTATATTCGTGTCGCACCTTTATAGCACCTACAACCGCAAATTCTTTCCTACTCCTTTGGTTTACTAGACTATTGCCAAAAGGTATGGTAAACGGTATGCCTGGCTATATGTACACTAAACCTTCCTTATGGTTCTGGGCCTATCAGAACATGTAATATTGACTGCAACTTTTATTCATTCAGATATCTCCTTTGAAATAGCTTTTGATTAGAAAAAGGTGTCAGAAATGTGGGTTATCACGCCGCTGATTTACTACAAAAGCTTCAGTTGGATAAAAAACCGGAGATATACTTCGATGCCTTTCAAAAAAGCTGTTTAAACACTTCATTTGCGAGATAATTTCAGCTGGTTGTATCAAGATATTTTTTCTTAAATCTAGGACAAAATCGGACTACTTGGGGAGGTTTTGTTAGAAGAATTCTTCTGACATACAAATGTCATGTATATACATGCTACCGCATACATACTGTTGCGAAAGTTTGAGGAAGAATCAGATATTCTGATTCAGCCCGCTATGGTATTATTGTATGGTATTATTGTGGATAATCTTATGTACCGAAAATTGGCGACCTTAGCAAAAAGCCCAAGTGTAGGTAGTTTACGTGTCACGTATCCTCCCTTCATCGCAACGAAATGTTTTTTCATGAGCTTATGAATCAAATACATGCAGTTTTTGTTGCAGCAACCTCAAAAATAGGCAACTAAGTTTCCTTTTTATTACCGTCAAAAATACGTGGTTAAATTAAAGGTTGGAAAAGGAATAATGACAATGACATTCACTAAGTCGAAAAATTAACTGGCACAAAAGGACTCACAAAACGCATTTTAACCTTTAACAATGAATTTACAGTTATTCTACCATCGCAAACAAGATCAGGTTTGGAATCGGTTGGTAGGTTTTTGAAATTCGTCATCCAGTGGAGTAATTACAACATAGCTGACCAAACGGTGCTAGTTACTCCAACTCAATGGTGATGATATTTTGTCCCCATAATAAAGGAAGGTTACTTTTAAGAAGATTGCCAAGAAGGTAATTTTACCTCCTAGAAGCCTAAGCTCCTTCCTAAAAACGAACATTTTTGAGCAAAATCTCAGTGAACATACTGTATCTAGGTGAACGTCAACAAATTTATGAAAAATTCTCCACCATTATGGGATTAGTAATCAAGCGTCTGAGACGCAAATGTATAGTTTGATGTTATTTTTTATTTGTAAGGAGACCACGAACGTTTGCGTCAAAAAGCATAAAAGATTAGTTTGTAGGCAACGCCTCGTTTTTGATTCTTGGGAGCCAAGAAATACGGACTGAGTTAGAGAGCATCGTGTATCCAAGATTTAGAGTCACTAGTTACCTCAGGATATTGCTAGCTTACATTTTTACTTGTATTAGGAACAGTCACCTAGTCTGAGTTTTTGAACGGCTTGTATAGGTCAATAGTACACACCTTTCCATAAGAAAAGGTCACATCTTGCTGCATAGATAAAGGGCTTTTCAGATTTGTGAATTTGTCATTATAAACATAAGCCGGGAATTTCCTTGACAGACGATGACGTTTGTTCTACAATGGCGGTCAGTTGTAATGAACTGTAAGTCTTCACTTCTTATACGAACTCAACTGGGTTTATAAAGTATGCCCCCGAAATGTTTTGATATACCCCATTCTGTTTTTGGAATGAAACATCTTTTTCACTAGGAATGTGGAACAAAGACCCATGATTCTAATGAGTATAACGTTGCAGCGGAATGAAAGGAAATTTTATTTCAGCGAAATTTAGACCATATTGCGGAAGCTAAACGGTTGGCTGAGGCGCAAGTCATAAAATTTGCAATAAGAAACAAACAATTAAGATAACCAGTTACTTAAGCAGACCAAAAACAAGATAAACCAGTTGCTTGCATATTCCTGTTGGAATCTGAGACTTGCTGCGGTTTGTTGCAGTACTGTAAAATCTAAACACGGCTTTAACTTCAAAGCAGTCCGGAGGATGAAAATAACATCCGTATGGTTGCCAACTCTGTTGTACTAATCACCGTACCCTGATAATGTTTGGGTTACATTTGGTAACCATAAGAAGTGGTAACTTACTACTTGGATGCTTCAATACATGTGTCACCCAAACATTTACGAATAAAAAAGTTAAATATGGAAATCAATAAATTGAAGAGAAGAAGGTCAATGTTACGACTAGTGTTTCAAAATGGATTGAGTGGCCCAATTTCTCTTAAGTTTGATATGCTACCTAGGCGCAAATGCTGTGCATCAAGCTTAGCAACCGCAATATATGTGCGTGGTTAAAATTTCTTCGGTTGCAAAACCAAAAAATTCAAACAACACGACTACCAGCAAGTAGCTGGCAACACTTATTGTTTAGCCACTAATTCTTTTGGGAAGCTTAAGAGTTACAACACCTTGGGTTTGCATTTGGAAGTAACTGGCGGTATAAATAATAGAGCACCAGTTTTACAATTATTGATTGCAAAGCTTCTATTGAAGGCCGCAATATTTTTGGGTTTCCTAGAACTAAAGGCCGAAAAATGACACTTGTAAATATATTATGCACATCTGAGTTCTAATAAAAGCAAGGCTTTACATAGCCTCGTATCGCAATATTAGACCAAGCATCTGGCTTCGCGATATTGTGCTCAATCGTTTTCGCCAATTCCTAAAAGACACTATGGAAGCTTCGATAGAATGAGCGCGGGCTAGACTGAATACGTATGCAGAACATAATACTGCATAAATGTTTTTCAGTTAGTCAACGGACTGTGCCAATTTTTTTGACTGCTCTGATTGATTTTTTATTGAGTATTAATATTAGGAGCTGGTCGGAAGCGCATTAGTCACTGAAAAAGCTACAAACTTTGGTGAAGCTGGAGGAAAAATTGAGAAAAATCAATTCCATTGCAATCTAAGTACTTGGATGTTTATATCATTAATCCGTGTGCTTCTAATGTTGCATTATTGAAGCCTCAATGTGGTTTGCTTAAAAACGGTTCATTTGTAATACATTATAGAAAATCGAAACAACTCACTGACAAAGTAAACCGTAAAGTGATGACCGACTGTAGGTTTTTCAGCGAAAGAGTACCCAAAAGTATGGATAAACTAGTGGTTAAACAATAAACGGTATTCGAACAAAATATGGAGTGACGGTTTATTAAAAGTTTTGGAAATATAAAGTTAACAAAGTGTAGATGGACTGAAATCGGTGGAGATACCCAAAATTCTGTGGTTTCAAGAACAAAAGAGTAATTGACGGTTCGCTCGACAACAGGAAAACTGAAGTGGCGTTGAAGCCAAGGTGTAGTGCCTTAACCCTTATGCTCCCTTTGACTTCTATAGTGTTCATAGAGTGAAAGGGTGCTACAATCGAGCAGTCATCAGTATTCGTTTGTGTAAGTTGATTATTGTGGAATATGACAGCGAAATAATACTAAATCAAGATGGATAGATCACGGCAAGAGTTGATTAAATAATCGCTGTCATAAGCGATAACACACTGTGCAGTTTGGAAAATTTGAGCTTCGTAAAATTTGAGATTAAGAAATGCTCTTTACGTGAGATTTCGCATAAGCGGTTACGGAAAAATTAAACGAATATGACGGTTTTGATAAAGTGAAAGATGTAGATAAGAATACATACGATACCTACAGATTGTCGAAAACAGTAGGAAGGAATAAACATAGTGGCGGAAATGTTTATGCAGTTGGGTGAAATGAAAGGAATATTCCCAAAAACGCACACCATCTACTCTATTTGACAAGCTCTTTGTTTTGGATGCGAACGTTCTTTATGCGGTCATCACAACTCCAAAGTAAAGATAAAGGTCTGGCTACTGAAAAATGTCGCCGTTAAGGATGGTTGGAACAAATGCTGAGAAACTGACTTTGGTACATTTTAGAAATTGGATTAAGGAATAACCTGACACTCAAAAATACAGGAAATCAGAATACAGGTCGCCCATATTTACTAAATGTTGTGGAGCACGTGGCCGCTGATTTATCTGTCGAGAATAGCAATTTGCTTGCAACCGTTTCTTTACCAGTCGTGGGGAGATGATCACTGCTGCACCGATACTAATACCTCAATTGAAAAGTAAAAAACACTTGGTTAAATTGATAGCAGCTTTGTGGCACGGTGTTGAAAAGGAATCAGGTAAATGCTGAACGAAATAGTTTTCTTCGTGGAGAGAGAAAAGAGGCTAGCAAATGATAAAATGCTAAGCAACTTAAACAAGACAGGCAATGTAAGACAGAGATTCAGATAAGGTAATCTGCTAAGGATCTTGATCTCTCCTATGGTAGGATTCGAGGGCATCAAATCCATCTGAGATGAAAGAAACCCTTGAAAAACATGAGCTCGGTTTGATGGTTTCCGTTTGGTGTGCTTTGATAGCAGCATTCAGTAACTTTCTAGCCAAGTGACAAAACGCCTTCTTAGACTTGTAGACAGTGATCTAGCGTAAGTTTCAGACAGAGAGAAGTTGAAACGGCTCGACGTAGTAGAATTCCCTTGTCCAAGATTTACAGTATACTTTCCTATATAACGTGACTTAAACAGGTCTCATGGAACCAGCTGCTCATTTACTTGCGTTAGAATAGTCAGAATAAGCTGTCAAACAAAGCACCGCTCTCATTACCGGCCGAGTGATAAGAGTGGTTTAGAAACAGTTCATGGGGTGCAATT